CCAGCTACTTGGGAGGCTGAGGCAGGAGACTCGCTTGAGCCCAGGAGTTGGAGGTTGCTGTGAGCGTGATGCCATGGCACTCTACCCAAGGGGATAGCTTGAGGCTCTGTCTCAAAAAAAAAATAAATAAATAAATAATGTGAAGGCAGCAGATGAGCTAATACAAAGTGGGGAGATAGGGGAATGAGCAAGTGGGGAGAGGGGAGGAAGGAAGAGGATGGAGGATCATGGTGTATGTCACACCTCTTGGGGGAGGGACACAATTATAAGAGAGACTTTATCTAACAAATAACCTAATTCTTTGTACTCTCAATGAATCCCAAACAAACAAAAAACCCCATAAGCCAATTTTTGTAGCATAAATACTCCCACTGTGGCCAGGTGTGAGCTGCTGGTGGTTTATTACAAGCCATTGGGAGCTGGCCCTGGTGTTCCTCTGCCAAGAACACAGTGCTGGAGGGAGTGGAGCCTGGCTGGGACCAAGCACACCTATTCTTTATTGTTAAATGTTAACTGTCCCACAGAGAATGGCCATTTGTCCTGGCCAAGAAATTAGCAAAGGTGCTTCTGTTCTGTCCCTGCCCAGGGGCGAGACTTAGGACATTGTACAAGTCCCTTCCTGGACAAGGATCACAACATACACGTTCTAAGTCAGTCCAGAGGCCTGGATTGGACAGAATCGGGGACCTTTAGGAGGAGCAACTTCTACTCTCTCCCCTCCTCCCCAGCCTTGTCAGCAGTGTTTCAGGAAACTTTATAGAAGCCAGGGAAAGCTGGAACAGGGAAAGGAGTACAAGAGGCTGTGCGGTGGCTCACACTTGTAATCCAGCACTCTGGGAGGCCACAGCGGGTGGATTGCTTAAACTCAGGAGTTCAAGACCAGCCTGAGAAAGAACAAGACCCCATTTCTACTAAAAAAGGAAAAATGAGCTGGGTGGCATGGTGGCAGGTGTCTACAGTCCCAGCTACTCGCAAAGCTGAGGCAAGAAGATCGCTTGAGGGAGTTAGAGTTTGCTGTAAACTAAGTTGACACTACGGCATTCTAGCCACAGTGACAGAGGGACACTATCTCAAAAAAAAAAAAAAAAAATTGAATAACAGATAGAGGTGTCCCCAGAAAGCCACTTGTTGAATCAGGGAAGATCTGGAGCAGGCTGGGTGGCCTGTATGTGGCTCAGGGCACTCAGGTGCTGAGCCGCCCAAGGACAAGCAGGTCTTCACCCTGGGCATGCAGCCATCTGTGCTCCTTCCAGAGACCAGGCTAGACACTAAATTATGGATTTTAAGTCTTAGGATTCATTCAGACTATAGTAAGGGCAGCCATCCATGGTCACAGGGGAAAGGCAGACACCCGAAATCCAAAGACCATCTGAACCATGCTAGACTTTCCAAAAGAGAAGATTATTTGGGGCCTCAGCTGAGCCCAGACTTAGTGGGTCAAGTTAGCAAGAGTTTACAGCTCGGTACCGAGAGGTGTTTCTCTAGTCTCAAGTCACTTCTTTGATTTTTCTGATTCTCAGGGTTGTGTGGTTTTTCAGGCTCACCCAAACTGTTCCTATCTGAACTTCCTTCCCTCTCAATGCCCCCATAGTTGGCTTGATGTATAGGACAGCACCACCCTGACCTGCTTAGATTGCCCCAAGGAAGAGATGGGGGGGTGGGGAGCCTAACAAAGCCAAGGCAGAAAATACACGTGCCCCCCCCCACCCCTCCCCCGGATTTCCTGACAGAGACCTTTCTCTGTTGAAAAACTCCTCCAAGAAAGTGGCACACCTGCCTGGGACACAGCCCTCCCCAGCTCCTTGCCCTTGGTCCGAGAAATGTTTCCACTGCCTCGGCCTCACCAGGCACATTGCCCTCAGGAACTTTGTGGAGGAGAAGATGGGCAGCAAGTTTGTGGAAGGCCGGAGCGTTGAATTCTCTAAGTCGTATGAGGAGAGCAGCCCCTCCACACCGATCTTCTTCATCCTCTCCCCAGGGGTAGACCCCCTGAAAGATGTGGAAGCCTTGGGTAAGTGCAGGCTGCGCCGTCCTCAAAACAGGCACGTCAGCATCACCGGTCATCAGGGAAATGCAGACGCTGACCACACCCCCAGGACGGCAAGTACCAAAAACAAAAACATAACAAGGCTTGGTGAGCGCATGGAGAGAGAACTCTGGCACCTTGCTGGGAGGGGCATACAGGGCTGAGCTGCTGTGAAAAACAGTGGTAATTTCTCAGTAAGTTACACTCAGACTCACCATGTGACCCAGGAATTCCACTCCTAGGTACACACCACCCCAGAGAACTGCAGACAGGGTCCAAACAAGCACACAAGTGTCCTTTCGCAATAGCTACAAAGTAGAAACCGCCAAGTCCACCAGCTGGTAAGTGGCATACACGTGAGCCTGGTGGCACAGCGGATGACACTGCTCTGTGGAGGAGTGACACCACAACATGGATAAGCACTCGACATGCAGAGAGGAAGAAGGCAGACACCAAGGGCCCCCGTCACACAGTGTCCACCACAGACAAATCACATAGCAGGAGGCAGGCCGGCCAGGAGCGGGGGAGGGGCACAGCAGGGACAGCTTAATGGGCACCGCAGAGTCCTTCTGGGGAGATAACAATGTTCCTCACAGATGGCTGCAAGACACCACAAGGAATGTCACTGAGTTGTAAATTGCGTGTTATGTGTGCTTTACATAGTAGAAGGGCGGGAGGTACAAGTCCCAGTCCCAGGGCCTGAACTTCTGTCATTTAATCATCCCGTGCGTTTCTGTTTTTCTTTTCTTTTAGGGAAAAAGCTGGGATTTACCATAGACAATGGGAAACTCCATAATGTGTCCCTGGGGCAGGGACAAGAGGTAGTGGCCGAGAACGCTCTGGATGTGGCCGCAGAGAGTGGACACTGGGTCATTCTGCAGGTACAAGGTGGCCAGCACTTTTGGGGCAAGGACTCCCCTCCCTAAAGCAGCCTCAGGTGGCGCCTGTGGCTCAAAGAAGTAGGACACCGGCCCCATATGCCGGAGGTGGTGGGTTCAAACCCAGCCCTGGCCAAAACCTGCAAAAAAAACCCTAAGGTGGCCTCAGGATGGGCTGCAAGGCCAAGAAGGGCATAGGACATGGGACCTGAGCTCATTAGTGTGGGCAGAAATCCTCCAGGCCACTGTAGGAGGGTCCCCCACCCCGAGTTTTGGCTCTGCCTGTCAGTGGGTGGTGTGGGGTGCCATGAACACCCAAGTGATAGCCTGAACTCTTCCAGTGGTGAGGACGACACTGGGGTACATACCAGAGTACCCCTAAAAAGATATTATTTAATAAACTCCAAGTTGACAGAAGCTTGGGGCAGGCAGCAAAGGCCACAGCACCCCAGGGACACCCCCCAGAGACCCTTCCTGGCTGCTGGCTTGCCCATGAGGGCCTCCAAGCCCACCTGGTCGCCACAGGTCCACAGTATGTGGCAACCTCCATCCACAGGGCCCAGCCTGGCTCTAGTGGGAAGAACCTCAGCTTCAAGGAAAGGTGGGCCACATAATCTCAGTCTTTGGCTGGGAGGACAAAAAGGATTTACCATGAGGCTAGAGGCTTTGAATTAACTGAGTCAAAAAACCCAATTCTGGTGCCTCAGCTGCTTGGCTAGAAACACCCTGCATGCCTGGCCCTTGTGAGGGTAGAGGGTGGTGCCAGGCACCAGGTGAGTATAGTTGCTGATGGGAAGAGCCCTGCCCATGCCAGAGGACGCAGCCAAGTGGCCGTCCTTGTAGGCCCAGGGGCAGGGGAAGTGTGCAAGGGCAACTAACTCCTGGTCTTGGCCACAGAACATCCACCTGGTGGCCCGCTGGCTGGGCACACTGGACAAGAAGGTGGAGCGCTATAGCAGCGGCAGCCACGAGGACTACCGTGTGTTCATCAGCGCGGAGCCAGCCCCCAGCCCCGAATCCCACATCATCCCCCAGGGCATCCTGGAAAACGCCATCAAGATCACCAACGAGCCCCCTACGGGCATGTATGCCAACCTGCACAAGGCCCTGGACCTCTTCACCCAGGTGAGATAGCAGCAAGTGCCAGCAGCCTAGCACCCGTCCCCGTTCCTGTCCCCATCCCCTCAGCAGCCCTGGGGCCCGGACAAGAGAGAAGAGCTGGGTCTGGGAGCTGAGGTCGGGACTCTGAGCCCTGGAGATGCACCCCCAGCACACTCACACACCTCATGTTACAAAATCAACATGTTCTAAAAGACTGTGAAATGCCAAGAATTCCAACTCTGTGGCACTATTTATACTTAAAGCCTCATAAGCAGAAACAGAGTTTTTAATCAGTGTCGGGAACCTGGGTAAGCAGCAGGAAATGCTGCTCACAGTGTTTGAAGATGAGGAACTGGTCACTCCTGGGTCCTGCGAAGTGAGGCCAGGTTCCCGCAAGTGGCTCCCTGAAGGTCACTCAGCTTTACAGGGGCCCCAGTGTGCCCTGACCCCTCTTGGCACCCCCACAGTCTGATGCAGATACACAGGGCCAAACCACCCCACTGCTAGAGGTGATGGGTGACCCAGGGGAAATGGTGAGGCTGCCTCCACCAGGGCTCTGGGCTCTGGTTCCACCACCAGCTTTCCTCGCCTTTGGCCTGGCCCTGACTGCCCATCAGCAGAAACATTGCCAAAACACAGGCACCCGGTGGGCCTGGTCCTCTGCTAGCACTGCAGTGGCCTCCTGCTGCCCTCCACGATGGAGGTGGAGGTCTCCAGGACGGTGGCAGCAAGGCGGACGCTGGCTGGGTCCCCTCCACACATCCTCTCTGCCTAGAGTCTGTGCTCCCTCCAACCCAAAACTCACGATCCTCAAGGCTTAGTGGACATTCTCCTCCACGGGAACTTCTCCCCTCTACACACCTCAGCACCTGCAGGGTGTCCCAGAAGTTGCTATTCACAGGGACAACGGGAAATGGTGGTTTAACGTACCTTCAAAGTGGAACCTCTGAAAGGTGACCACCCGAGGGACTGGAACGCTCTGGTCACCATGCAGAGGTGGTCAACATAAGCAACCAGGCCTACTTGGCCTGACATCCTGATAACAACACATGGTGCATGTCTGCTCTATGACAATTAGGTCAACTTAAGGAGGTGGTCAGCTTTGGAGGTTCTACTGTGCTTACAAAATATCCTCTACAAAATTTTACAAAGCAGTGGCCAACAGGTAGAGAATATTTTATAAATATTCGTAAGTAAATGTGTTCCGCTGTAATTGCCCATGTTCTCTGTGTATGGCAGCTTTACGGGTGACTTTTGGGACACCCTGTACGTTTATTCTTTGGGAACCTCATCGTTTTCTGCTCTGTATACAAACATCTGACCTCCCAATTAGAGGCTACAACCTCAAGGTGGTGAAACTCCACATTCTCCTATTAATACCTAGGGTATTATTGTGAATGTACAACTTCTATTATCTGTTTTAGTGTTCAAAAAAAACATTCCTATGAAATATGAGATAGCAACTAACAATTCCCAGCTGTTAAAGGACATACCATATTCTAGGCATGAAGAGAATGAAGAGTAGAAAAACCAATGTTTAAAATGAGGCACTTGTGGCCTGACACCTGTGGCTCAAGCACCTAAGGCGCCAGCCACATACACCAGAGCTGGTGGGTCCAAATCCAGCCCGGGCCCGCCAAACAACAATGACAACTACAATCAAAAAATAGCTGGGCGCTGTGGCAGGCGCCTGTGGTCCCAGCTACTTGGGAGGCTCAGGCAGGAGACTCACTTGGGCCCAGGAGGTGGAGGTTGCTGTGAGCTGATGCTACAGCACTCTACCCAGGGCAACAGCTTGAGGCTGTCTCAAAAAAAAAAAATGTAAAATAAGGAACTTCAGTGGTGCCTGTGGTTCAGTGGGTAGGGCGCCAGCCCCATATACCGGGTGGCTGGTTCGAACCCAGCCCTGGCCAAACTGCAACAACAAAAAAATTAGCTGGGCATTGTGGCGGGGGCCTGTAGTCCCAGCTACTTGGGAGGCTTAGGCAAGAGAATTACCTAAGCCCAGGAGTTGGAGGTTGCTGTGAGCTGTGTGATGCCACGACTTTCTACCGAGGGTGATAAAGTGAGACTCTGTCTCTACAAAAATAAATAAATAAAATGAGCACTTGCTGGAGGAAAGGGCAGATGAACGATGCCCCGTGACCCAGGCTAACCAGCCTAGTCTACTGAGGGGCATTCCACGCCCACCCAGGGTCGGTGCTGCCGGCCCACTGGGGTCTCTGAAGTTGAGAGGAGGCAGGCAGTAAACTTTGCAGAATTTACACTACTGTGAATTCAAGCACACGGTCTGTGTTTCCTTTAGCATTTCATTTTCATTATCTTTTGCAAGTCTCAGTGACAGACGAGGTTGGGGAACAGCAGGAGGCCTCTGGGGCAGTATAAAGCCCTGTGACAGGGGCTGTTAGGAGGGAGCCTCAGCCAGGGGAACAGAAGCTGCAGGTGCCTGGGGCAGCAGAGAAGTATAAACAATAATGTTCCTTTGTAATTACCACTATTTCTCACCATTTACATACAAACACTATCTCAAACTCTTTAAAAAATTAGCAAAGGCTTCCTATGAGGGGAGTGGGAATGGCTTAGCAAACTCTTTTCCATAGCTCCAGTATTTAGATAGATACTAGGAAGCAATATTAATAATTCAACTTGTGACAAATACTTAGAAGTGATAAAACTGCATCTTTTCAAGAAAAAAAAGAAACAGCTCCCATGAAACGAGCTTTCCCTGTGGCTGCTCTCAGGAGAGACCAGCTTGGACCCCACCCACACCCCAACAAGGCTGTCAAAACCGGGCTTGGTCCCACTTGGGGGCATTTCTGCATACAGGTCTCTCCTTTCCTCCTCACTGACGTGAAGTGTGGCTCCTTCCGTAGGACACCCTGGAGATGTGCACCAAAGAGATCGAGTTCAAGTGCATCCTCTTTGCCCTGTGCTACTTCCACGCCGTGGTGGCCGAGAGGCGCAAGTTTGGTGCACAGGGCTGGAACCGGTCGTACCCCTTCAACAATGGGGACCTTACCATCTCCATCAACGTGCTCTACAATTACCTAGAGGCCAACCCCAAGGTGAGGGGCTGCGTATCCCCCAATCAGTGCTCTCAACACATCCCCTGTTTGGGCATCATCCGTCTTTACTCCGTCCATCCTTCCACTCCCTTCCTTTTGTTGTCTTACGTCTAAGACATGTGAAGCTGGCTGGGTGCAGTGGCTCACACCTGTAATTGCAGCACCCTGGGAGGCCGAGGCAGGAGGATCCCTTGAGCTCAAGAGTTTTGAGACCCTTCTTAGCAAGAGTAAGACCCCATCTCTACTCAAAACAGAGAGCTAGCCAGGTATTGTGGCAGGCACCTGTTGTCCCAGCTACTCAGGAGGCTGAGGCAAAGAGAAGGAGTTTGAGGTTGTTGTACCCGAGCACAGATAGAGACTGTCTCAAAAAGAAAAAAAAGTTATGCAGGTTTCATAATCCAAAGGAAATCCTCGTCTCTGCTCTCAATAACCTGGCGTAGATTATCATCCGTCCTTTTCCACCACCTCCTGCGGGTGTCGGCTGCCTGCAGTTTCGGCCTGTCAGTGCTCCATGGGATCAGCTCACAGCCACTTGCCCGTCTTGGGGGAATTCTTCAGAACTCTGTCACCCCTGACGGTGTGACAAAGCAGTGCTACATGGGCTGTGGGCCTCACCAGGTTCTGGGGTCAGAAACCAAGGTTTAGGAAGGGAGGGGCCAAAATAAATCTCCTTGGAAAGAAGGGACCACTTCTGTCCATTTCCATGGAAATAAGCACATGTGCATAAAGGTCATTGCAAACTGCTGCAGGGACTGCAGAGAGAGCAGCAGGGAGGTCTACAGACCAGGAGAGGGCACAGGTTTGGCACCAGACCTCGGAGTTCCCTCAATAGCCCCTTGCCAGGTGACATCCAGCTGCTCAGGGTAGTCCTGTCCATGGACTGAAGAGCACTGTGGTCCCCACCTCACATGGATCTTACCAGGATCAGATTCAGGAAGCCTAGCATGACACAGGAGCCATCCTAGGGGAGGTGGAGGGCAGCCATGCCCTGTAAACCTTGCCTCCCTTCCCTCAGCCCCCAGATCAACAGCAACTTGGCCTGTGGCTCCCCAAGCACCAAGCGCCTTCGCATAGACTGAGAGAGGGGGGCCCATGGAGGGCCTGCTTACATGTCAGTGCTGACATGGGCAGCACTGCCAGGGCCTGGGTAGCTGAGGCCTCCCGCCCCATTGTCAAAGGGTTGGAAATGGCACTGATACCAGAAGGGCCTGGGTTTGAAGCCTGTTCTGCCACTCCCTGGCTGAGCCCTCAAGCAAACCACTCAACTGCCCCAAGCAAGAATGATAACGTGGGGGTTAGATGAGGAAGGGTGGGGTACACCCAGCTCGGCCTAGGAGCACCAGTATTCAAAGCCCCTGGCGCTTGCCACCGGCTTGTGATGCTCAGCAGGGGATGAGCCCCACACAGGCTCCCCATGGCAGCCTGAGAAGGCCACAGGGCTGACCCACAAAGGCCAGCACCCAGCCTGCCTGAGAGGCTGAGGTGGAGCTTCCCAACGCCTACTGTGGACGAAGATGGCCTCTCAGTGCGGTCAGCAAAGCTGGCCTGGAACACTGGGTGCGTACTTCCTTGGTGAAGTACCAGCCTTGGAGAAGCCAGGCCAGAGGCCAACCCCTATGTCCCCAGGAGGTGGGCCCCAACGCCTATGGGTGCTACTGGGGAGAAGGCAAGGCAGTCCCCATTCACAAGTTGGTGGACAGCGTGGAGGTGGCGTGTCTTATCTAAAATGAGGTCCTTGGCTCGGCGCCTATAGCTCAACCGGCTAAGGCGCCAGCCACATACACCTAAGGTGGCGGGTTCGAATCCCCAGCCCGGACCCGCCAAACAACAATGACGGCTGCAACCAAAAAATAGCCGGGCGTTGTGGCGGGCGCCTGTGGTCCCAGCTGCTTGGGAGGCGGAGGCAGGAGACTCGCTTGAGCCCAGGAGTTGGAGGTTGCTGTGAGCTGTAATGCCACGGCACTCTACCCAGGGGGACAGCTTGAGGCTCTGTCTCAAAAAAAAAATAAATAAATAAAAAAATAAAATGAGGTCCTTATCTTACAACACTCGCAAGATGCTGGAACGGACTCTCATCATCACTGGGGATGAGTGTGAGGGAACAGTCTCACTAGAATTTCTTGAAGATATTTCCTGAGCCATTTTCTCCACGTGTACACACATTTGGATTCTCAGCTGGCTGGAGATCAGTGTGGGAGTGAATATGGCGTGCCCCAAATGGCCGCATCCTGATGAGCACAGTGTTCTGAAACCCCACTGGCTGACCTTTCCTCCCTGTGGGCGCGTGTCCGGGGGGAGGCCCCCTCTCTCCCCTGCAGACTTGCCACTGGCTCCCTGCACAGGTCCTGCAGGGATGCTGAGAACTGCCTGTGATGAGGCTTTCCGAGTCCAGGGTTCGTTCAGGCCCCCCCCCCCCGCTCTGAGGGCACAGATCAGGGCTTCCCACAAGGCCAGGAGACAAAAATCAGCTGGAATGTTGGTTATGAACACACACAAACCCACACAGGCCTTCCCAGGGAGAGGCCTGCAGCACTCGACCCCTCCCGCTGGAAACAGAAGCTGCCTCTGAAGCAAATAAGATGTAGGAAAAGCAGCTCAGCACATCCTCAAGATGCTTAAGCAAAGTAATTTTTAGTCACGAAATGATAAATTAGAGAATATCAATGTTCTACGTAAAAATTCATGAGACTAAACCAGATAATTGACTAGTTTTTATTTTTCCAGAAGAATGTAGTTTGCTATTTATTTAGTATAAAAGGCTTGTGCACAGTCTAACAAAATGCAATTTTTATAAATCTATTTTGAAAACATGGGGGCTATTTATTTGGGTTTCATACTCTTAATTACTCCACCCATCAGCTCATTTCTTTGTGTCATGTAACTGCTCAACTCTTACAGTCCTGATGTTCAGCTCGGCTCAGCCACTTCCCCCGGCTAGTGTAGCCGGTGGTCGCCTTCCTCATCCACTGCCAGGAGCGTCCCCTCTCCAACAAGATCAAGTATGAGCTGAGCATCATTAGACACAGCAAAGGAAGTCACTACTGGATGAGTTCTAATATTCAAATAACTTTTCTTCTTTAAGAAGAAAACAGTTTCTTTAAGCAGAAACTTTAAAGCAGTTTCTTCATTTACAGTAACTTCAGGCAGCCATACGTTTTTTTAAAGCAGGCAACCAAAATGTTTCCGTCGTAGTCCAGGCAAATGAGAGCACAGAATAGAACCCAAGCAAGCTTTCCTGGGGAAATGTGTAAGTCCTCTTTCTGAATTATCTGTGAATTTTCAATGGTATCCACAGTGAGTGGCTAGCCACCTGCGTCTCCTCTCCTGGAGGTCCAGACTGAAATCTCTATGAACACAGAGGGTGGATCCACCTTAGGAACAACACACCCTTTATCAGGGACATCTGTTGGTGGTGCTGCAAATTCTGCTTTAACTCAACAAATTCTATTTCCCAGCTGCTCTAAAGAAGAACCATCTCCAGTACTAACTGAACCTATGTTGACAGCTGTGGTTCTGAATTCACCAACTTCCCTTCCGTCAGGATGGCAGTTCTCACCCAGAAATCTCCTGCAGTACTCCACAGGTTCCAGGGTTTTGAACCTAGCTTCCATCTTTCTACTCCAATTAATCTAGTTCTTATTCAATTAACTTTCATATGATGATATTTGATAAACTCTTTTGGGCAGGACACTGGGGAAGGACCAACATTACATAAATGCTCACCTGGCCCTCCAGAAGCTGCAGTCCTCAGGGAAATACGTGCGTGAAAGCAGGAAAAGACCTACTACAAGCCACAAGGTCCCACGCAGGACTGCCAGCACATGGCGCCCACCAGCCACACAAAGCGAGAGGGGCTGCATGTGCAAGCACACACTGAATTTCAAAGCTTGGTACTTACAAAAGGATGTCCAGGACCTTATTAACAATCTTTGTATCAATTACATGGGCCACAATTTTCTTACTCTCCTTTAGTAGCTGCTAGAAAGCTGAGACTCACATATGTGGCTCATCCTTGTGGCTCCATAGCACTTCCCTGGGAGGGCACTGTGTACAGGGAACAAGCTACATGCCAGGGCACATGGCGGCTACAGGCAGAGTCCCTGGCTTCACACAGAGGCCACAGAGGCACCAGGCTCAGAAGGATGAGGTGTGCAGGAGCCAAGGTGCCAGGAAAAGGTGAGGAAGCAGAGGGACAGGATGAGTGGAGGGACACAGCAAGACACAAGAGTCCACCTGGCCTGACGACGAGGAGCCCGAACACCAGGCAGAGCGTGCTGACCCACACTGCTCACTCCCTCCTTGCTCCCAGCCATCTATGCTACTGCAGAGGCCTCAGGCACAGGAGCTGCTCAGAAAGAGCAGAGCTGGGACCAGTCAGGGGATCAGAAGAGGACCCACTCGATACGTTTAGAAGACATGACCGACTGGACAACCTCACAGCCAAACACATACACAGTGCCTGAGCGAGCACCTGCCACACAATTAAATTGCTCTTGTTGAAAGTGAATGTGAAGGGGCAGTGATGGATCATAACAAAGGGAGAGGTAGGGGGTGAGCTCTGACTCAGGCTATGGTTGAGACCACCACAGACAGAGGCAGACAGCAGAGAAAGAGCAGGGCTAGAAGCTCAGCCTCAGAGGGAGAACCACACAGCGTCCTGCATGAGAGGCCAAAGGGGAGAGCACGACAAAAGGGTTGGCCAGCTGAGTCGGATGTGAGGGACAGCCATAGGAGAGGAAGACGGGTAGTCCTGGAGCCCAGTGATCCTAAACAACTGGCGGGGGGGTGGGGGGAAGCAGCAGCAGATGGCTGGTAGAGCAGCTGGCCCTTCAGCACCTGGCAGAGTGGACACCTTCCTCTAACCACATCCATCTTTCCTAAGGTCCCCTGGGATGATCTCCGCTACCTCTTTGGTGAAATCATGTACGGCGGTCACATCACAGATGACTGGGACCGCCGGCTGTGCAGGACCTACCTGGCAGAGTACATCCGTGCAGAGATGCTAGAGGGAGAGGTCCTCCTGGCCCCCGGGTTCCAGATACCCCCCAACCTGGACTACAAGGTGAGGATACATTGAGCGTGAGCTCACTCTACCACAACAAAGGTTAATGCTGTGCTAGCTCCGAGGTGAGCAACTCCAGTCACAAAGGGAGCATCAGTAACTGAGAACTCAGCTGGTGTCGGAGAGGATGAGAAATGCAGCCTCTGGGAAGGGGGTGGAAATTTCCTTCATGTAGCTGGGGAGCAAGGGGGCAGCTGTGCAGAGGCTGGGGAACAAGCGGGCACAGAGGGCAGGACATGGGTGGAACATTCCGACAAGAATTGCTTACTGCAGAGGACACGGGTTTCAGCCTGCACAGCCTGGTCCTGGGAGCCTGCTTACTCACCACTGCTTTTTTCAGGGTTACCACGAATACATTGATGAGAACCTTCCCCCCGAGAGTCCCTATCTGTATGGCCTGCACCCCAACGCGGAGATTGGCTTTCTGACGGTCACCTCGGAGAAACTGTTCCGCACTGTCCTAGAAATGCAGCCCAAAGAGACCGACTCGGGAGCAGGCACAGGAGTCTCCCGAGAGGAGAAGGCAGGATATTTATTTCGTGCTGTATCCCCCAAGCAGCAGAGAGAGGGCCTAGAGCAATGGTTCTCAACCTGTGGGTCACGACCCCTTTGGGGTTGCATGACCCTTTGACAGGGCTCACCT